AATGTGGGCTTAATCAGAAAAAACTTGTGGGCTTAATCAGTCCAAACATGTGGGCTTAATCAGACTAGATATGTGGGCTAAATCAGATCAAATTTGAGCTGAATTTGACTAAAGATGTGGTCTAAATCAAACCAAACATGTGGGATAAATCAGACTAAACATGTGGGCTAAATCAGACCAAACATGAACTAAACCAGACTAAACATTTGGGATAAACCAGAATAAACATCTGGGCTAAATCAGACAAAAAATCTGGTCTAAACCAGACTAAAGATCTTAATAAGACCTAAGATTTGGGCTAAATCTGACAAAACATGTTGGTTATATTAGAATAAACATGTGGGCTAGATCAGACTAAACATATGGACTATATCAGGCATAACATGGGCTTAATCAGACCAAATATGTGGGTTAAATCAGACTAAACATCTGGACTAAATCAGAACAAATATGGGCTAAACCAGACTAAATATCTGGGCTAAATCAGGCCAAACATGGGCTAAATCAGACCAAACGTGGGCTTTAGCAGACCAAACGTGTGGGCTAAATCAGAACAAATATGGAATAAACCAGACTAAATATCTGGGCTAAATCAGGCTAAACATCTGGGCTAAATCAGACCAAACATGTGGGCTAAATCAGAACAAATATGGAATAAACCAGACTAAATATCTGGGCTAAATCAGACCAAACATGTGGGCTAAATCAGAACAAATATGGAATAAACCAGAATAAATATCTGGGCAAAATCAGACTAAACATCTGGGCTAAATCAGAACAAATGTGGGCTAAATCACACTAAACATGTGGGATAAACCAGACTAAATATCTGGGCTAAATCAGAACAAATATGGAATAAACCAGACTAAATATCTGGGCTAAATAAGACTAAACATCTGGGCTAAATCAGAACAAATATGGGCTAAACCTGACTATATATCTGGGCTAAATCAGACCAAACGTGGGCTTAATCAGACCAAACATGTGGGCTAAATCAGAACAAATTTGGGATAAACCAGACTAAATATCTGGGCTAAATCAGACTAAACATCTGGGCTAAATCAGAACAAATATGGGCTAAACCTGACTAAATATCTGGGCTAAATCAGACCGAACATGTGGGCTAAATCAGACCCAACATGTGGGCTAAATAAGACTAAACATCTGGGCTAAATCAGAACAAATATGGGCTTAATCAGACTAAACGTGTGGGCTTAATCAGGCTAAACACGTGGACAAAATCACATTAAAGGTCTGGGTTAAATCAGGCCAAACACGTGGACTAAGTGTATCTCCTGTTGAGGAGCATTAAGCCACGCCCACCCTCTGAGCATGCTCAGTTGACCCACCTGAAACCTGACGCCGCTCACATTGACGTACAGGATCTCATCTGACCTGGACGAGTTGTCCACTGGGGGTTTGGGCATCGTCTTCTTGGC